TTACAATTTGTATTTCTTTTTTGATATTTTCATTTGTTCACACATCATTTTCCTGGTTATTATAGTTCTCTATGGTTTCTTTTAGCTCTTTGAGCATATTTGAGACAGCTGATTTAAAGTTTTTATCTAGTTAAGTCCAATGTGTGTGCTTTCTCTGGGACACTTTCTGTCAGTTTACTTTTTTCCTTTGAATGGGACATATTTTCTTGCTTCTTTGTATGCTTCATGATTTTTATTTTGTTAAAAACTGCACATCTGGAGAACGATCCAAGATGTCTGATCACTAACATCTCAGGATTGCAGGTCCCAGTGAAAGCTCAGAGAACGAGAGGATGCCACACTTTCAAATTTTGGTTGCTCACGGAGCAGAAGATTCCCAGTAGAGGAGCTCCACAGGTTGCCAGTGCAACTCTTGTGGCCGGCACAGCGGTTTCGCCGGTACCTCGGCGCGGCAGCTCTCAGTGCAGAGTAAACGGGACTGGTTCCCCTTCTGACCGAGGTTTGGAGCTCTGGGAAGGCAGAGTCGCCTATTACCAACTCAAGAAGGAAGCCAGACTGGAGATTCCCAGGCAGAAAAGCACGATCAGTCTTAACGCCACTGTTTTGGCCAGCGCAGTGGGTTGCTCATATTTCGGCCCTGGGAATTAACAACTTGGACGTCCACTCAGAGACCTAATTTGAAAGTTGGTAATTACAAAGACGACAGGTGGATAACTTTACAATGATGGGAAGAAACCAGCATAAAAAGGCTGAGAATACTCAAAATCAGAACGCCTCTCCCTCTAAAGAGGGTCACAGTTCCTCATCAACAAGGGAACAAGACTTGATGAAGAACGAGTGCATCCCATTAACAGAATCAGGCTTCAGAAGATGGATAAGAAACTTCTGTGAGTTAAAAGAACATGTTGTAGCCCAACGTAAAGAAACTAGGAACTTTGAAAAAAGGTTTGACGAAATCCTATTGAGAATAGACAACTTAGAGAGGAATATAAGTGAATTAATGGGACTGAAGAATACAATACAGGAACTCTGAGAAGTATGCACAGGTTTAAACACTCGAATTGTTCAAGCAGAAGAAAGGATAACAGAGGTCAAAGTCCAACTTAATGAAAGAAAACAAGAAGACAAGATTAGAGATAAAAGGATAAAAAGGAATGAGCAAAGTCTCCAAGAAATGTGGGACTATGTGAAAAGACTAAATTTACGTTTGATACGTGTACCTGAATGCGACGGAGAGAATGAATCCAAGTTGGAAAATACCCTTCAGGATATTATTCAGGAAAATTTTCCTGAACTAGCGAAGCAGGTCAGTATTCAACCCCAGGTAATAGAGAGAACACCACAAAGATATTCCTCAAGAAGAGCAACCCCAAGGCACATAATCGTTAGATTCACTAGGGTTGAAACAAAGGAGAAAATACTAAGGGCAGCCAGAGAGAAAGTTCAGGTTACCCACAAAGGCAAGCCTATCAGACTTACAGCAGAAACTCTACAAGCCAGAAGAGAGTGGGGGCCAATATTCAACATCCTCAAAGAACAGAACCTTCAGCCCAGAATTTCATATCCAGCCAAACTAAGCTTCACAACTGAAGGAAAAATAAAATCTTTTATGGGTGGCTCACGCCTGTAATCCCAGCACTTTGGGAGGCCAAGGCGGGTGGATCACAAGGTCAAGAGATCGAGACCATCCAGGTCAACATGGTGAAACCCCATCTCTACTAAAAATACAAAAAATTAGCTGGGCATGGTGGCGCATGCCTGTAATCCCAGCTACTCAGGAGGCTGAGGCAGGAGAATTGCCTGAGCCCAGGAGGCAGAGGTTGCGGTGAGCCGAGATTGCGCCATTGCACTCCAGCCTGGGTAACAAGAGCGAAACTCGGTCTCAAAATAAATAAATAAATAAATAAATAAAATATTTTATGAACAAGCAAGTACTCAGAGATTTTATTACCACCAGGACTGCTTTACAAGAGCTTCTGAAAGAGGCATTACACACAGAAAGAAACAACCAGTATTAGCCTTACTAAAAATATACCAAAAAGTAAACAGCACCAACATAAAGAAGTATTTTCATCAATGAATAGATCAAACAGCCAGTTAACATCAAATGGCAGTAACCCTAAATTTAAATCGACTAAATCCCCCAATCAAAAGACACAACCAAAACCCAACAACATGTTACATCCAGACCCGTTTCACATGCAAGGATACACAAAGACTCAAAACAAAGGGATGGAGAAAGATTTACCAACCAAATGGAGAGCAAAAATAAATAAATAAAAAGCAGGAGTTGCAATTCTCATATCTGATAAAATAGATTTTAAAGCAACAAAGAAATAGTGGTAAAAGGATCAATGCAACAACAAGAGCTAAGGATTCTAACACCGAGATATATAGAGACTTAGACTCAATGAGACAAAAAATTAATAAGGATATCAAGAACTCGAACTCAGATCCGGAACAAGTAAACTTAATATTTATAGAGCTCTTCACTTTAAATACACAAAATATACATTCTTGTCAATACCACATCACACCTACTCATAGGTTTAAATGAAACATTGATTGGCCATTATTAATACCCATTTTTTTTAGAATAAAGCAACATTTCCATTCTCTCTCCCTCTTCTTCTTCCTCTTTCTTCCTCTCCTTCATTCCTTTTTTTCTTTCCTTCTCTCAAAAAAAGAAAAAAAAGAAATCAACTTGTAGACCTCTAGATCCAGGTCGGCAATGTCTCTCTCATTGCTTGATTTCCTTCCTTCCCTTCTCTCCCTCCCTCCCTCCCTCCCTCCCTTCCTTCCTCCCTCCCTTCCTCCTTTCCTCCCTTCCTGCCTTCCTCCCTTCCTCCCTTCCTAAAAAATAAAAATAAAAAGCAGTTGTGTTAAAAATTAATAATTTTATAATCAGATATTTGTAAACATGTTAAGCTAATGAGAGTTCTTGATACAATTTAATTTTCTCTTCTAGTAACAAAGGCCGTTTGTACAGAAAAAGTCATACAGAATTCTATTAACTCGTATCTATCTTCTGAAAAACTAGATACAAATTCCAAGAATTTATGTATGATGTCAATTCCACATAAACATATATTTTGGATATTAACTAGCGAAAAGCAAGAATTTATTAAAATTATTCTGATGAAGTGGCCAGTAGCTCAGGGACTACCTAGAAGAATTAAATATAAATGTAACCACATATCTTTATAATAGAGTGATATATATTCATTTGGGCATACACTCAGTAATGGGACTGCTGGGTTGAATGGTATTTCTGCCTTTAGATCTTTGATTTAAAAAATGTGGTACATATACACTATGGAATAGTCTGCAGCCATAGAAAAGAATGAGATCATGTCCTTTGCAGGGACATGGATGTAGCTGGAGGCCATTATCCTTAGCAAACTAATCCAGAAACAGAAAGCCAAATTCTGCATGTTCTCACTTATAAGCGGAAGCTAAATGATGAGAACACATGGCCACACAGGGGAACAACACATACTGGGGCCTATTGAAGGGTGGAGGGTGGGAAGAGGGAGAAGATCAGGAAAAACATGAATGGGTACTCGGTTTAATATCTGAGTGATTAAATAATCTGTACCACAAACCCCTCGACACAAGTTTACGTGTATAACAATTCTGCACATGTACCCCTGAACTTAAAATTTAAAAATAAATAAATAAATAAAAACTGCACATCTGAATATTAAAATGTGGTACCCCTACCCCAGACTTTGCTGTTTTTGATTGTTGAAGACTGGAGTCATATGTTCATTTAGTTACTTAATCAAACTATTTTTGCAAAGCCGAATCTTTCGAGTACAGTCACTGAAGTCTTTTTCCTCAGCTTTTGTTCAACTAGTGTTTTGACAGTTGAACACTGTCAAACTTTGATTTCTTTGAATGTCAAGGGAAAAATTAAAACACTTCTCTCAGTCTTTGTGGATTGACTGTGTGTTAGGGTACTTTTTAAACACTGTTTAGAACTCTTTCTGAGTTTATTGCCTTCACTTAACCTAGAGATTAGCCAGAGAAGAAAGCTTATGGTCTTAACTGGGGTTTTCTGAGCACACATTCATGCATGGGTATGCATGTGACTTCCTGGATTCACCAGTATAAAACGGTGCTTTTTTTTTTCTTTTTGAGACAGAGACTCACTCCAGTTTCACAGGCTAGAGTGCAGTGGCATGATCTCAGCTCACTGCAACCCCCACCTACCAGGTTCAAGTGATTCTCATGCCTCAGCCTCCCGAGTACCTGGGATTACAGGTACGTGTCACCACACCTGGCTAATTTTTGTACTTTTAGTAGAGACAGGGTTTTGCCATGTTGGCAAGGCTGGTCTCAAACTCTTGGCCTCAAGCAATCCACCCAGCTTGGCCTCCCAAAGTGCTGGGATTATAGGCATGAGCCACTACACCCAGACTTTCTTAATTTTTTAGTAGAGACAGGATCATACCATGTTATACAGGCTGGTCCTGAACTCCAGGCCTCATACAATCCTCCTGCCTTGGCCTCCCAAAGTGCTTGGATTACAGGTATGAGCCACCACACCCAGTCCAAGGGTGCATTTGGAATGCCTTTATTTTCACACAAGAAACTCCTCAGCTTTTCTTCCTAGGCTTCAGATGGCTAACTGTATAGGTAACCATAGTAAAAGGCCAGGACTAGGGTACGGTCCTGAGGGGAGGGGGCTGCCACTAGCCTGGTTATTGAACTGGGAAGGGGTCAGGACTACAGGGCAAATCAAAGCACCCCAGAGGCCATCATGTTGTGCCTCTTTGTGTCAAGTGGGGAAATCACAGGCCTCTGCTCAAGGTGCCAGGGGCCAGGCCAGGTCAACTTCCTTGCTGACATCCAGCCTTGGCTCCTTAAGTCAATGAGTACCCCTCTCACCCTCCCCACCTATTATGACACAGATGCCTCCTAGAGGTAAGCACAAGGTTCTATGGACATCATTTCCCCAGAATAAGGGCAGGAGTGGGGAAATGTTCTTAAAGTACCTGGCTGCTGGTAGTGAGGGCAGATGGTTTCCGGCTCAGTATCACCACAGCAGAGGGGACTACAGACTGCAGATCCAGAGTGGGTCACAGCAGGAGCATCACTCACACGGGCATGGGCTGCTGGGGTCCAAGGGGATGGTCCTGGAGCTGAGAGCTCCATCTCTGCCTCCTCATAGCGAGTTCTGAGGCTGGGCATGACTGGGACCTGAAGACCAGAAAGAACACAGGTAAGTAAACACTCAGGCTAGCTCCAGGGATTCATCCTCCCATAAGGAACAGGTCTCTTCCTCCACTACTATAGCCCAAGACCTGAAGAGGGCCTGGTGCTGTCAGGTCTCAGGGGCTGATGCTATGTTCCCTGATCCTGAACCCAAAAAGAGGGAGTCAGCCATGGAGACACAGACTCACAAGCTAGGGCCACACGTACAAAGGGGTAAGCTGCTGACCCTAAGGCAAAGTGGGCTAACAGGGCACAGGCCTGCCCTGATAGGAGGGCAACCCCCACAGGATCTGTATCCTGCTGGGGGCCCACTCTTCTCATTCCATATTGCTGACATTCACAATGCTCTGAAGCTGGGCATGCCAGACCCAACTAGAGTGGGAGAACAGCACCTCCACAGGTTGAGCAGCCAGGGGCAGCCTGTGCTGCAGACCCACTTGTAGTCATTATGCATCAATGCCTACCAATCCTAGTGGTCAATTCTGTCTGAGATGCACCATCCTGGCAGCATCCACAGCAGGTATTCCCATCTTTACTTGCCTGGGACGTTCTCCCAGTGCACCAGCTACTCCCTCCTAGCCTCTCATTCCCCATTTCACATTAGCACCCCAGTGTTCACTTCTGTACTGACACCAACTTCCTTGGTGATTATGTCCAGCCTTAAGGCATCAACACCCTGTTAAGACTCACAAACTTAGGCTCATCTCCAGTCCTAACCTCTCTCTGAGCAGGAGATAAGACACTCCCATGTGGAGGCATGATGGGCTCCTCACATGGACCAAGTTACTGACTACCCCGTGTAAATGCACCATATCCTGCCCAGGGGCCCATTGGGAGAACTGACACACCTCGGCTCTTCATTCACATTGTACTGACATTGACTCCTCTGCCCTCATGGGACCAGCTGAGAGTGAGGGTGTGGTCAAGGGGATCTGCAAAGGGGATCTGAAGAAAGGTGCCAGAAGGATGGTGCAGGGAGTCAAAGTGATGGTAGGTGTCACCCATAGGCTATGTGGGGAAGAAAGAAGGGTTGGATAGTGCACCTGGACTCAGATCATCATCAAGGAGGAGTGCGCAGCTAGTGGTCTGGGTGAAAAGGTCAAAGGACAAGTGTAGGGAAAAAGCTTGAGGGAGAAGGCAGAGATATGAACAGAGCTCACAGTGATGGTCACTGTGGACAGATGATAAGTGAGCTTGGCTGCCAGATGAAGGTGAAGCATTGGCCACATTTCTATATCAGGAGAAACAAAACTAACAAAACATCTCAAGATTAACCTGGCTGGGTGCTCAGAGGAATGGTGTGAGATGAGATTCAAAGCAGGCAGAGCACTAAGGTGTCTACCACGTGGCAGCAGAAACAGAGCAGCAAACATGGGGGGTGGGGGTGACAAGGCCCTCAGTGACTGCATCTACCTGCCCTTACAGTGCAGATGCCCAGTTACCACGAGGGAAGCCTCTCCCCATACAAGGGGAGATGTAATAATCTGCAATATTTATTTAGTTCATTTTGTCTAAAAATACTTTAAATTCTCATTCTTTCTGAATGGGGGCATAGTCACATGGCTCAAAATTTAAAAGGTAAAAAAGGATTTATGGTGAAAAAACACCCAAACAGCCACTTAGTTTCTCTTGTTTCTAGTGTACCCTTCCAAATTAATCTAGGCTTACACAGCATGTATATACACACATGTATATATAAATACACACACACACCCAACTATGCTATTGTTTCACACCTTATTTTTCTCACTTCATTATGTGTGGGATCTTGACTATCAGCCCACAGAATAAACGCTCCCTCTCCCCCGTGTCCATATCCCTGGAACTTGTCCTTATGTTACACTACGTGCCAAAAGGGGCTTTGCAGAGGGAATTAAGGTTACGGGCGTGAATTACCCTGTGCACACAATCTAATCAAATGACCCCTTAAAAGCCTGAGAAGGATCTGACAGGGCCACATGGAAGGACCTCGGAGAGCTAAGGGCCACTCAGGCAAACAGCCAACACTTCTGTGGACCAACCCCAAGGAAAAAAGATTCGCCCAACAGCTTGAACAAACTTGGAAGCGGAGTCTCCTGGCTAAAGGCTGCTCTTGAGGAGACAGGCAACTGCAAGAGCCAGCCGCCACCCTCCCCACAGCAAGCAGCAACAGGATGGGCCCTGGCCGATCCCTCAGCACCTTCACCCTTGGCGGGAGAACGAGTCCAAACTCTCCTTCCTCCCCAGAGTACCTGCTCCATATGGGGAGTGACTCCACTACTGACTGGGCAGGGGACATCTGAGGCCGAGAGAAACACCCTTTCTCCCCCAACTCTGCTCTATGCATCTCAGACTTCGCATCGAAGACCAGGAACCCACTCTGTCTCCCACGCCCCGGGATCCACCCCATGTCACTGCTGCCCCGTCACTCCGCCTGAACTTGAACGCCGCCAGTCTGCGGGCGGAGTCCTGGCTCCTGGACCCTACCCAGGGCCCTCCCTGGAAAGCCCTCTCCCGGAGGCCACCCACGAGGCTCCGACCCGCGGCCCAGGCCGAGCGGCCCCTGCCCCGCCCCACAACCCCACCGCGCGCCTCCGCCCCCGCCCAGGAGATCCAGTCTCGCCGCCCACCCCGTATGAACCCTAAGGGGCCCCCGGGCCCCCAACCATTGAGGACAAACCGGACGCGCGGTCCTAAGCGTGGAGCTTCACAGAACCAACTCACGTCCTCAAGGGGTCGCGCTTGGAAGAGAGACATCACCGCAGCACGAAGGCTTCTCACCCGAGGCCGGCTGATCCCCCAGGAAGTCCCGCCTCAACTTCCGGCCGGCGGCTCATTCTATCTGGGACAGCGTAGTCTCTCTAGACAACTGGAGGCCGGGCGACTCTGTGGTTCAGCCCCAGACCTGTTTCCGCTAATCCTGAGCCCAGAGACCCTTCTGTTCCTCTTTATCAGAGTAGACCCGTGCACTGAACAAGGCGACAAATTTCTGTTAGAAATGCAGCGATAATGAGCTAAACTGTTGTGGGAGATTTTAATACACAGGTCCCCAGAATCTGAACAGATTGTAGCTTGATAAAAACGTAAGGATACGTTTTTTGGAAGAGCTGAATCCTTCAATCAATAAGTGATTCGATAGATAAATAGAATTCAAATTCCTTCAGTAGCTAATACGTTTTTGTGTGATTGTGCATGGATCATTTATAATACAGAAATGAATTGTACACTTGAACATAAAGAATACAAATAAGGCTGGATGCAGAGGCCCATGCCTGTGATTCCAGCACGTGGAAGGCCGAGGTGGGCAGATAGCTTGAGCCCAGGTATATATATATACCCAGCATAATATTTTACTAATGCCTCTCAGTTTCTAAGTGTGAACCTAAGGTGACATTTTGAAAGAAGTGACCCTAAGAAAAGATGGGATGCTTTAAGCCCTCTGTCATGCCTGTGTAAGGGCTACTGGAGGGCACATTGGCTGTGTGGCAACGCCAGTGATGGGAAAGCACCCGCTGTTTAGACAGCTATGGAAGGAGACATCCAAGATGTCTCCCTCCCCAGAGGAGTTCGGAGAAAACTCTGCTCCCCCAAGCTCTTGTGGTAGACATCTGGGGGCTTAATTGTCTCTATGTGATGCTGTGCTTCAGGGGTCACATTCCACGTCCACTTTCATGTTCCGCTTCTGCACCTGCTTTCTCTTTTTCTTAGAAGATATAATCAGTAAAAGTAACATAAATATAAATGTCTTTGCTCTTTCTTGGCAAGTATGGAAAAAGCACTGACACATTATGGTTCTTACCTCATCTCAGCTACTTGAAAGTCCTGGGCCCTCATGTGATGTACTTGACCCTATCACTGACCACCAATGTCTCACCCTACCTACCTTGCCCGCAGCTTTGTACTCAATAAAAAAGTGTGTGGACACTGCCGGACTCTGCGCTTTGGTTGGCAGTGGACTCCTGGGCCCAAACTCTTTTTCTCTCCATCTCTGTGTCTTGTGTCTTTATTTCCACAGTTTCTCTTCTCTGCACCAGAAGAGGGGCTCACAGGATCCTGTAGGATTGGACCCTACAATTTCTAAGCAATAAAGCATTCAAGATGTGACATACCTTTTTCTGAAAGTGTACAGTCATATGTATTCACAAAGAGATGGCCTGAAATTGGAACTTATGTTTATTTTTTAAAATTTTTTATTTCCAGTTGGGAGGACTCAAGATGGTGCTGTGAGAACAACCTAGGATTGAAGCTCTCAGTCAATCTGTGGAGAGGTGAGTCGAAGCTGCATTTTCAGACTGATCTTTGTTGCCCACAAAACGGGGAAATTCCCAAGTATAAAGGAGACGAGGGACGCCAGGCAGAGGCTCAGCCTGGCGAAGCTGGCAGCCGGGGTGGCGGCGGCTGGCCCTACCCAGCACTCCCCACAGGGCGCGCTTGCTTGTCCGGGTGCCCTGTTGAACCAGCAACATGAGACTTGAGAGAGCTGAACTTGAGACTGTACGGGATGTGGACAGTGGGCCACCCCGGGGATTGCAGGGACACAGCGTTTGGGGTAGCATAGTGGGACGGACAAAACGGTGATTCCAAACGCTCCCCGTGGAGTCAGTCCCTGAGACGCTCCGTGAAGTAGGGGCATCCACCATTACCGAGGCAACCGGTCCCTACTGAGATACACGGCCACTGCTGACACAGCCTGCCGTTGCCGAGGCAACCCGCCCCTACTGAGATACACGCCCACTGCTGACGCAGCCTGCCATTGCCGAGGCAACCCGCTACAACAGAGAGACTGCACCGCAGGGCGTAGCCCGTGGTGCAGACCGCAGCAGCAGAGCAGAGCCTGTAGAAACACGGCAAACCTCACAACAACAGGGCGGAGCCTCGGCAGGCAAAAAGTGACCAGACTGCCTCCTAGCTGGGCAGGACACCTCAAAGGACATCCAAAATTAAAGTCCCAACCCCTGAAGACAGAGCATTTGAGAAAAAAAGGGTTTTTTAATGAGCTGTGTTGCAGCAGGATCAAACATAGCAGCCTAACAGCCCTGAATGAACAACAGAGCTCACAGCTCAACAATTGAGCTCTTATAAAGTACAGACTGTCTCCTCAAGCAGCTCCCTGACCCCTCTATATCCCAAGACTGACATTTGGCAGGCATCATCCTGGGACAAAGATAGCAGAAAAAGAAACTGGTAGCATCCCTCACTGTTCTGCAGCTGCTATAGGTGCACCCCAGATAAGCAGGGCCTGGAGTGGACCTCAGCAGTCGTACAGTGAAGGGGCTAGACTGGTAGAAGGAAAACCAAGTAACAGAAATACCTCATCATCAACAATCTGGGTGTCCACTCAGAGACCCAATCGAAAAGTCAGCAACTATGCAGATGACAAGTGGATAAATCCACAAAAATGGGAAGAAACCAGTGCAAAAACGAGGAAAACACCCAAAACCAGAACACCTCGCCTCCTAGAAAGGACCAAAACTCCTCACCAGCAAGGGAACAAAGCTGGATGGAGAATGACTGTGATGAAATGATGGAATTAGACTTCAGAAGGTGGATAATGAGAAACTTTTGTGAGCTAAAAGAACATGTATTAAATCAATGCAAAGAAACTACCTTGAAAAAAGATATGAAAAAAGATTTGAGGAAATGATGACAAGAATGGATAACTTAGAAAGGAATATGAATGAATTAAAGGAGCTGAAAAACACAATACGAGAACGTCGTGGAGCATGCACAAGTTTCAATAGCCGAATTGACAAAGCAGAAGAAAGAATATCTGAAGTCGAAGATCAACTCAATGAAATAAAATGAGAAACCAAGATCAGAGAAAAAAGCGCAAAAAGGAATGAACAAAGTCTCCAAGAAATGTGGGTCTATGTGAAAAGACCTAACCTACATTTGATAGGTGTGCCAGAAGGGGACGAAGAGAATGAATCCAAGCTGGAAAATACTCTTCAGGACATCATCCAGGAAAATTTCCCCCACCTAGCAAGACAGGCCAACACTCAATTGCAGGAAATACAGAGAACACCACAAAGATATTCCGCAAGAAGAGCAACCCCAATGCACATAATCGTCAGATTCAACAAGGTTGAAATAAAGGAGAGAATACTAAGGGCAGCCAGAGAGAAAGGTCCGGTCACCCACAAAGGGAAGCCCATCAGACTCACAGCAGATCTCTCGGCAGAAACACTACAAGCCAGAAGAGAGTGGGGGCCAATACTCAACATTCTTAAAGAAAAGAACTTTCAACCCAGAATTTCATATCCAGCCAAACTGAGCTTCAGAAGTGAAGGAAAAATAAAATCCTTTGCGAACAAGCAAGTACTCAGAGATTTTGTCACCACCAGGCCTGCTTTACAAGAGCTCCTAAAAGAGGCACTACACATAGAAAGGAAAAACCAGTACCAGCCATTCCAAAATCACACTAAATGCTAAAGAGCATCAACATAATGAAGAATCTACAACAACTAACAGGCAAAATAGCCACTTAGCATCAAAATGGCAGTATCAAATTCACACATAACAATATTAACCCTAAATGTAAATGGACTAAATGCACCAATCAAAAGACACAGACTGGAAAATTGGATAAAAATGCAAAACCCATCAGTGTGCTGTATGCAGGAATCCCATCTCACATGCAAGGATACACAAAGGCTCAAAATAAAGGGATGGAGAAAGATTTACCAAGCAAATGGAGAGCAAAAAAAAGCAGGAGTTGCAATTCTCATCTCTGATAAAATAGACCTTAAAGCAACAAAGATCAAAAGAGACAAAGAAGGCCATTACATAATAGTAAAAGGATCGATACAACAAAAAGAGCTAACGATCCTAAACATTTATAGACCCAATGCAGGAGCAGCCAGATATATAAGGCAAGTTCTCAATGACCTACAAAGAGACTTAGACTCCCACACAATAATAGTGGGAGACTTTAACACTCCACTGTCAATATTAGACAGATCAACCAGACAGAAAATCAACAAGGATATCCAGAGCTTGAACTCAGACTTGGAGCAAGCAAACCTGATAGACATTTACAGAACTCTCCACCCCAAATCCACAGAATATACATTCTTCTCAGCACCACATCACACCTACTCTAAAATTGACCACATAATTGGAAGTAAAGCACGGCTCAGCAAATGCAAAACAACTGAAATTATAACAAACAGCCTCTCAGACCATAGTGCAATCAAGTTAGAACTCAGAATACAGAAACCAACCCAGAACCGCACAGCTTCATGGAAACTGAACAACTGGCTCTTGAATGTTGACTGGGTAAACAATGAAATGAAGGCAAAAATAAAGAAGTTCTTCGAAACCAATGAGAATGAAGACACAACATGTCAGAACCTCTGGGACACATTTAAAGCAGTCTCTAAAGGAAAGTATATAGCAATAAGTGCCCATATGAGGAGCATGGAGAGATCCAAAATTGACACCCTATCGTCAAAATTGAAAGAGCTAGAGGAGCAAGATCAAAAAAACTCAAAACCCAGCAGAAGACAAGAAATAACTAAGATCAGAGCTGAACTGAAGGAGATTGAGACACGAAAAACCCTTCAAAAAATCAATAAATCCAAGAGCTGGTTTTTTGAAAAGATCAACAAAATAGACAGACCACTAGCCAGATTGATTAAAAATAAAAGAGAGAACAACCAAATAGATGCAATAAAAAATGATAAAGGGGAAATCACCACAGATTCCACACAAATTCAAACCATCATCAGAGAATATTACAAACAACTTTATGCACATAAACTAGTAAACCTAGAAGAAATGGACAAATTCCTGGACTCCTGCATCCTCCCAAGCCTACACCAGGAGGAAGCTGAAACTATGAATAGACCAATAACAAGGTCAGAAGTCGAGGCAGCAATTAAGAGCCTACCACACAAAAAAACCCCAGGTCCAGACGGGTTCACAGCCGAATTCTACCAGACACACAAAGAGGAGCTGGTACCATTCCTTCTAAAACTATTTCAAACAATCCAAAAAGAGGGAATACTTCCCAAATCATTTTATGAGACCAACATCATTCTGATACCAAAACCCAGCAGAGACCCAACAAGAAACTTATTCACCATGATCAAGTAGGATTCATCCCGGAGATGCAAGGCTGGTTCAACATACGCAAGTCTATAAACGTAATTCACCACATAAACAGAACCAAAAACAAAAACCACATGATTATCTCAATTGACGCAGAAAAGGCATTTGACAAAATTCAACAGTCCTTTATGCTATAAACCCTCAATAAACTCGGTATCGATGGAACATATCTCAAAGTAATAAAAGCTCTTTATGACAAACCAACAGCCAATATCATACTGAATGGGCAAAAACTGGAAGCATTCCCTTTGAAATCTGGCACTAGACAAGGATGCCCTGTTTCACCACTCCTATTCAATATACTTCTGGAAGTTCTAGCCAGAGCAATCAGGCAAGAAAGAGAAATAAAGGGTATTCAAATAGGAAAGGAGGAAGCCAAATTGTCTCTATTTGCAGACGACATGATAGTATACCTAGAAGACCCCATCACCTCAGCCCAAAAACTCCTGAAACTGATAAGCAACTTCAGCAAAGTCTCAGGATATAAAATCAATGTGCAAAAATCACAAGCATTCGTGTACACCAATAACAGACTTAAAGAAAGCCAAATCAAGAGCGAACTGCCATTCACAATTGCTACAAAAAGAATAAAATACCTTGGAATACAACTCACAAGGAATGTAAGGGACCTCTTCAAGGAGAACTACAAACCGCTGCTCAACGAAATCAGAGAGGACACAAACAGATGGAGAAACATTCCATTTTCATGGTTAGGAAGAATTAATATCATGAAAATGGCTATACTGCCCAAAGTAATTTACAGAATCAACGCTATCCCCATCAAGCTACCACTGACTTTCTTCACAGAACTGGAAAAAACCACCATGAACTTCATATGGAACCAAAAGAGAGCCCGCATAGCCAAGTCAATTCTAAGCAAAAAGAACACAGCGGGGAGCATCACACTACCGAATTTCAAACTATACTACAAGGCTACAGTAATCAAAACAGCATGGTACTGGTACCAAAACAGAGATATAGACCAATGGAACAAAACAGAGGCACCAGAGGCAACACAACATATCTACAACTATACAATCTTTGATAAACCTGACAAAAACAAGCAAGGGGGAAAGGATTCCATGTTTAACAAATGGTGTTGGGAAAACTGGCTAGCCATGTGCAGAAAGCAGAAACTGGACCCCTTCCTGACACCT